AAAGGAATGATTTGTGATCGATATGTACGACAGTGGAACCATTAAAAATACTCTTAGCTAAGGAATTAACCTGTTGTTTATTATTACTTAGCCATACTTTTCATAGAAAGAAATCGCACCTTGCTCACTATTAGATAAGAAAACATTCATTTCCGGAGCGCCTAGCGCTTCGGCTAAAGTTCACTTCACCCTTCCTATGGTAATGAGCATACATGTTTGATACTTTAATACAACACCATCAGTCAACCTCTGTCAGCTGACTATGTCCAGAAATCGCTACCTTTATAGAAGAATCTAAACCCAGTCAAGGAAACCTCAGTCCAATCAACAAAGCCCCACGACCGCCTGTGGTGCTGATCAGCGAAACTTCTAGCACGGCTAACCTGAGACTGCAGACAAAATCACAACCAAGCAACATTAATTTTGTCAAAAAGCAGAGAAAACGGGAAATTCAGTAGTCTCTGCGGAACCAACAATTGTACACGACGTCGTCCACAGATGACAGCCGCAGTACGGCAAACGAGAACGGAAGGGGAGTATTGAGGCTTGCATGACCTGTGAGCAAGCACGAACAGTGTATATGCCAAAATACCACATAACATCTTTCCGCAAAAAATAATAGAAAGTAAATAAAAAGTTAAACATTGTGATTTCGACTACAGCTTTAGCATAACTGGGTTCAACGTCGATTTGTGCTCCACAGATCAACCCTGTCGACGGATGATTGCTGAAAGCACCTACAGGTTAAAACAGAGCAGCGAGAAAGCGAAACGAAGAACCCACATGGTGTAGTGATAAACACATTAGCTCCTGGAAAGGGTAAACGCGGTTCAATCTGGCCTGGGGTCCAAGTTTCGCAAACATCACAGCATCATTGTGGTTGCATTTCACATAATACTCTGCTTTGCAAAAATAATCGGCAGTAGATAAAAGTTACACATTCCTAATAATTTTCTAACAGTGGTTTTTTAATAATTAAAATGATATATGATCAGCCGCTATGAAAATTTATTGACAGCACCGAAGCACTGCAAAGGAAGGTGACAAAAAAGGCATAAGGTTGGCATAGAAAGGACCTTTATGATAGCAGCATGTAAATGATGGCAATACACAACTACTGAAACCTTACAACACGTTTATGGTATGCACAGTACTTCTTGTTGAGAAATTCATACTTTTGAAAGTTACTTCTTAAAACTGACTTGTTTGAGTTTGTGTTCTACAGGAAGTGATAAAATCAGCCTTGTACACCATAAGTATATCTTCAAAGTGTAAATGACATACTAGATGGAAATTTGGAAAGTTGAGATCTGGTTGATCGAATCAGAACGTGAGTAACAGTCTAAGACTTTGCAATGACCGTGTTCGGAATCAACACTTTCAGAGCAACCAGCGCATTTCTCTTACTGATATTAAAGAGACTGAGCAAGGAATAGAATTCAAATAGTGCACATTAGAACGCGATGAATACTGCTGCAGCGATACGAGATGAAATTTGATGGTGCTATAATTTAGCTCAAGGGTTCAGCGAAATGAAATCGTTCGAATCGGTTTTGTTGAATTCTAGCAACCTGGTCTTAAGGCTTCTGCTGATTACACAGGAATGACTCTGTGAACATAAGTAATCCCACGAGTGTAACAAGTATGAGGCTAAGATATTTATACCTCTGTAACGAATTACTATACATACATCTAGAGACCAAACCTTAAGGATATTTCGAATTCATTCAGAGAGTGAATACGATCTGTATGCTTTCACCGATTACACAGGAATGACTCTGTGAACACCCCACAGGTATAAGAATTACCGTGCTAACATATTTATACCCCTCTAACGAATTCTTGTAACTACATCTAGAGATCAAATCTTAGGGATCTAGAGACCAAAGCCTAGGGATATTTGAAACTCACGATCTACAATCTCTATATGGGAGATCACGAAGACATCGTATAGTGTAAAAAGAAACACCGGCAAAGAAAACTACGATGACGTCCACGGCGACAGCGCCCGACGGCCACCACAATAGCGGCAACGACGGCGGCGGCGGCGGCGGCAACGGCGGCGGCGGCAACGGCGCAGTGGCGATGACTTCATATGGTACGGCGCGCCCCCGGGCGCCCGACCGCGTCGCACGGCGCAACGCGCACACACCAAGGCGGCCACAGCGCCGCATCGATTGGCGCCCGATGCCGCCGCCGTGGCGCCGCCCTGGGCGCCCCCGCGTCCGCCGCCATTGCCGCCGCCGTCGCCGCGGGAAAAACAACGTCCGTGTGCCGGCGTTCTGACCGCTGAGTGATTTCGGCGATAATGAAGGGTGGACGGCATTGAGAATTACGTTTATCTCGTCCTCAAGCGACAAATTTGGTGCTGGGGGATTTGCATGGCTTAGCAGACAATTCGAATCACCTTATCACTGAAAGTGTCATCCTTTTTACTCACTTGCATATTTGGATGGCTCTTCACCGGTTGTGCGGGCCCCAACATAATTTTCATTTTTTTTTTCGGAGTTTTTCTGATTTAGCCATCGTGTTTTGTTGGAGTCTCGGGGTCAGTCTTGCCACAATCCGCCGCATGTCGTCGCCACCACAGGCAGTCGCCGCATTCGTGGATCAGGAGGGGGGATTTCACACCATGCGACCAGTTTGATACTACAGGACGGTGGTGGATCCTGGTATTGGTTTACTTTTAGCCGGGTTTTCTGATGGAAACGTACTCGCTCTCAGCTGGGGAGGCCCTGCTGCGGTATGAATCATTCCGCTGTACACCGCAAACCGATACCTACGAACATCTCCCGGCCACGATGAGACGGTAAACCGTTAGGAGGAACCGTTTTAACTTGTCTTCTAAGCTTTTTATCTCTTGAGCATTGTATTATTTATAAATGCATGTATATTGTATTTGTTTAACTTAGTCCCATCTTTTTTTTAGCTTGCTGGGAACTCATATAGTTTGCGGTGTTTTTGCTTTTCAACTCGGACCACTGTTACCTCTTTGTTACTAGCAACAATCTTCTGTACGCATATCAGATGGACAGCGAATTATTGATCAATCCCGAGGTTAGCGGGAACACCGTCTTGAAAGCGGAAAGAAAGAAATTTCTCGAGATCTCTTATTGGTACCGCTCCTTCGTTGTACTAAAGAATGTTAATTTTCAAGTGTAATAGGGTTTAAAAGCAACGTGTTTTGTGGTTTACCTAACTAGGAGGTAAACACGTTATATGTTGAATAGTGGCTTGCACTACACCACCAGAATAGGCATTGTGAGCACATCACATCCATTCTTCTGCGCAAATGACCTGCTAGTACTACTGTACGAGTATGAAAGGGTTAAAAGGATGAAGGATGAAGCTCTCGACGTTGATCAACCCCTGAGGCTGAGGGATGCGCCATGAATTCGATTTCATTAAGTATCGTTGGAGGTCACTGGTTGCCGATGTATCGAGCCAATGCTGCTATCCTTCTAGACAGGTCTGGTACCAATTTGCCGACGCCGGAGGGATGGAAGGTTTGGTGGGCCATGGGCGCGGGAGTCGATTCCACGTGTGTCGCAGTGGCGCCTCCAACTATTGCGCCACACGCGTCCTTATGAAAAGCGGTCACCTGTAATATCACCACCTGTAGTCCCGTTGATCGTCGAGTAACTCGAGCGGGCACCAGTGAACCTTCCACTTTTCCCTGTCGCGTGCAAGAGTAGCCCAGTGGGTTCTGCTCGCTCTAGGGACTCGTCAAGCATCATATCTTTCTTCAAGGCTCTTTGTGAAGAACTCTGACCATCGAGTCGGTGGTATTCTTGCAGTACGTTTGACATTCCGAGGAATCCAGTCACTTACGGCTCTTGTCCATCGGCTGTCATTCATACGCATAACGTGTCCGGCCCACCTTACTTTCGACTGTTTGGCGTACAGAACGGCATCTTTGATTTTTGATCGTTGACGCAGATCGGAGCTTCGAATCCCATCTCTTACTTGTGTGAAACGGGATACTCCTCCTAGCATCCTCATTTCGACTGCGCGTTCCATAACGCTGAGTGATCTTTCATCTTGTAACGCAGCGACCAGCTTTCTGACGCATACGTTAGGGCGGGAAGTGCCGTTGAGTGGAAAAGGTGGGCACGGAGTCGGGTGTTCCTTGTTCTCTTCACTACATCTTCGATGCTCTTGAAAACTCTCCAAGCCACTTCTTTCCTTCTGCTCAGCTCTGGAACTAAGTCGTTCGACATGCTGATTTCCCAAGCTAGACAGACATAACTGGAGCACTGGGATAAATTCGTTCCGTTGAGCGTGAATGGGGCATACGAAACCAATCCGTTCTTCATGAACATCGTTTTTGTGAGACTTAGTCGAAAAACAATCTTTCCACAGGCCTCATCAAAGTCGTGAAGCATACGTTCTGCTTGGCTAATGTCTGGTGTTATAAGAAATAGTTTAGAAAATAGTTTAAAAATAAAGGGATAAAGCTCTCGTCGTTAATCAATCTCTACAGGATGCGCCATGCACTCAACTTCATTAAGCATCGTCGGAGGTGATTTAATGCATGTCTGGCCTTTGCTATACCTCGCGTTGGCCCACCGATGTATCGAGAGCTAGTGGTGCTATCTTCTTAGAAAAGTCTGGTGCCAATTTGCCGACCCCGGAGGGTTGGAAAGCTTGGTGAGCCACTAACGCGGGGATCGATCCAATGTGTGTGTTGCAGGGCGCTTCCGACCACTACGCCACGTATAGTAGGAAATAGTGCACGTAAAAGTGTTTCGCTTTTTTTTTGCATTTATATGCTCCCCTTTTGTTTGTTTTCCTCTAGCCTTTCGTATCCTACGTACTAACTTTTCGTTTTTCACAATATGATCTCTGGCTAGGATGATCTTGCTACCGATGTATGTGTTCTCCTTCGCAACAGTCTGCGCTCCATCATGCGCAGCCTTGTTCTCCTTTCTCTGCTACGTTACACCTAATGACGAACCGTGTGACAGGTGCGCCGCTCACAATTGTCGTCGAAGTGGTGTATGCGGTTTTCGTCAGTACTGCGAGTCATCATAAGAGGTCCTAACGGTCAACCTTTCTGGAGAGAAGTGAGCGATTTGAGGCTTCCCAAAGGAGGAAAGACTGTTTCATTCGGACAGGTTTCGCTTTTACTTCGTTTCATATTTGTTCGTTTTACTAATGTCTGTGATTTCCGTTAAACGCTATGATCAAGTAATTGTTAGTGAGAATAGTTTGCTAGGATTTTCCGTAAAACTTGTTGTTAATGCAGTAAAGGCAAAGTTGTTTATGTCAGGAAGGTCTTAAGTTATTTAAATCTTTTGCATTTCGTCAATAAGGAAGTGGATACCGCAGTGTTAATGACTTCATTACGCATCCAGCCGACCTACCTTGGGTCGGGTTCGAAATGGCCTGTTTTCGCATTGTTAGTCGTCTCTTGCAGTTGTCTTGAAAATTGTTTTATAAAACTTCCTGTGACAAGCGTTCTTTTAATTTTTAGAGTTTATCTGATATCCCTAAGGTCGTCTGTGGCTCGATTTTATTAGCTGTGGCTTTGTTTCCACTGTTTATTCCTTTTAATTTTAGGTCATCAAATAGCAGTATGATTAACCACCTTCGAACGATTTTATTGCATAAGTTCAATATGGGATATAAATCGAAATTCTCACAATATCGTGCCACCGTTTGGCCAGGTGATAGTCAACTAGTGAAGTTCTTAAAGAATGGGCACTTACCAAGTTGAATGGGAAAGTAGCGGTGTTATAGAGCCTATTCCATGTACTTTCATGTCACTTCAAAGTTTATGTGTCGAACCTTTTCGTTTGTTTGTACTTTTGTAGAATTCGCTGATAAAAAGTAAAACTCTCAGCGTTGATCACTCGACTTCATTAAGCATCGTTGGAGGTGACTGAGTGCATATCTGGCCTTTACTACTCCTCGTGGTGGCTTACCGATGTATCGACCCAGTGCTGCTATACTCCCAGACAAGAACCATTGATCAGAGTCGCATGTGGTTGACGACTCTGATCAACGGCTCCTCTTCAGGAAAGGCACGCATAAAAAAACGGTTCTGAGAAAGGTGATACTGCCGAAACGTCGGCCACGGTTGTGTTGTATGTGTATTATTGTATGGAAGTAAACGTATGCTGTTTGACAACCTTGCAATTGCTGTGAGAGAAAACGACGAATTTAAGACCCTATATATATTATTGCACGGTGCCTCCGACCACTGCGTCACACGCGTCTTAGAATTCTCTGGAACGCCTTGTGTTATTGTAGTTTAAAAGCCGCTACTTAAAAATGTTAGGCTTCGGGTTTCCAAGCAAATGGTCGCTTATGTTTCCTGAGCAAAATCGTTGCAGAAGGACACGGGGGTACCATGTTTTGTTTTTTCTTACCTTATAAAATGAATCCATTATTAGCACTTAAGTGGACATCGTTTTTTGTTGTGGAAAGATAATTCTCCCAAGCTACGTTGTTCACCAATGTTGTTAAGTGTTATAAAAGACAAGTATATTTAACTAGGAAAAGTATAAAAGAACTGCTTTCAGAATTCGTTGATTGGCGTTGTCGCTTTCCTAGGGCTATTCTGTTATTGCGGGCTTCAAGAAGAGGTGAATCCAGATTCCAAGTGGGGAGGTTAGTTGAGAATAGCTCTCCTTTGCGTTTTTACGTCTGAATATTGATTGTGTCAAAGTGGTGCGTCTCCTCTAGTCTATAGCGCCGTCGGGATGTGAAAATGAGTTACGCCTTCTGCGAACACTTTCGAGAGCTACAAAATCGTCGTAACCATTATTTCCATCACTGTTATCATTATTGTCGATCGCTCTTGGTTTTAAAATATATTTATCGTGACGTTTGCAGAAATCTATCGTGGTTTAACTCAAGATCCTTTAAAATGGTTGGGAATGGAACAGACGGAGACAAAGCCAACCCCAGACCTCTCCTCCCATCTGAGGTACATCACTTTGCACGCTGTTGTCTTATTTCGAAGACGAAATGCACTGAGCATTATCTGCCCTCTTGTGTATAATAGCAACGTTATTGGATTCCTATTTTGGCCTCAGCACTCCAGCTCTGCCTCCAAAATTTGTTTGTCACTATTCCCCACCCTATCTTGTTTACTACTTCTCAAAGCATTTGTTAAAATTTCTGTCTCCGATCCAAAATTTTCACCTACCATTGAATAGTTTAGTTGTGTCCTATGTACCATATAAATTATTTAACAACAACTGGGTTCTATCCATTTCTCTTGGTGTGTGAAATTCTTTTTTCAAATTGTATAGGTAGCTGAGCTGGTAGGAGAGCCTGATCCTGAGACCAAAGGTTTCTACTTTCAACAAACCATGTTACGCATAAAAGATCCAAGGAAGTCATTACCATTCTACACTAAGGTACTCGGTATGAGGTTGGTTCATATACATATGCATTTTGTCCTCATTTACTGCCTAGAATACCTTTATATGTGGTGAAGTCTTTACAAATAAGTTTGTCTAGGTTGCTTAAACAAATGGATTTCCACGGTGGTCAATTTTCTCTCTACTTTATGGGCTACAAGAAAGCCAGCGAGGTCCCTCATGGAGAAAGGGAGAAGAATCATTTCGCGCTTTCTACGCTTTCCATCATCGAATTGACGCAGTGAGTTTATCTGGATTTTCTCGGCAGTTGGAAATTTATGTTTGCCATTATCCACTATTTTTTCAGCAATTGGGGAACTGAGAATTGCCCTGAATTCAGTTACCACAATGGCAACAAGGAACCGCGAGGATTTGGTTCGTTCCGTTTTCGATTCTTGATCTATTTGTGTTATTGTGACCTAATATTTCAATATTTCTTGGCCATTTTACTATTGGGAGCACTTCAAATGTTCTTTAAGGTCATATTGGAATTGTCGTGCCTGATGTAGATAAGGCTTGTGAGCGCTTCGAGAGTATGGGTGTGAAATTTGTGAAGAAGCCACAGGATGGATCGATGAAGGGTCTGGCGTTCATTCAAGATCCAGATGGTTATTGGATTGAGATCTTCAATCCCGGTAGTGTTTGTTGAAGTGATGGATGACGTGCCTTGTTTTATTCGTCAATTATTAGTTATTTGCTGATTTTACAATTTTACAAATGCACTTGATGTGTCGTATGTTACATTAGTCGCCTTTAGTGCAATGAAGTTCAGAAACTGGATTCGTTATCAGTGAGAAACATACCAGATAAGAGAAAACGAATTCTGGTAAGATGGAAAATGCTCATCTGCTACGTCCTTGACATTCTTTCTTTATCGTTTTACGACCACTGGGTGAAACAGTGTGCTGAGGTTAATGTAAATGTTTTACTCGAAGCCTTCAGTGAGTAAAGTGAGTGAGTGATCTATGCTTCTTTATAGCTTTTGCTTGGTAGTTCACATTCGTTGCAGTGGTGTAGAGATCTGGTAGTGATGAAAATTACGTAAGATATCGTATTTAAGATAGAAAATAGTTCATGTATGAGACGTCTTCCATCGATTTTTCATAGCTTCATGATGAACTTTTTTATGGAGGTATATACTAGTAGTGTCAAGCTAGAAGATTGTATCTAGTGTTTGGTTTCTGACATAGAAATAGCATTTGTGGCCGTATACCAAGCTGTAGTAATATTTGCTATTTTGTTTCTTCGGGCTAAACTTTTGTACACTTTTGCATGTTCATTCCTTCTACTAACCACAAAGACTGGATTTCCTCGCAATTGGCCTATTGTTGGCCTTTGTCCACTTACATTTTACACAAACCGAAAAGAGATCAACAATGTTAGAGAATTTTCGAGTTGACGTGGTGAAGTGTTCTATTATGAACTTGGAGCTGGGATCCGTTTTGTAATGATTGTGATTTCACTGTTGTATTTTGAGGACTGTTTAACCTCGTGACAGCTAATTGTTTGAATTAGTTTCAATCTCAAAACTCAGAGTCACGAAAGTCCCCAATACATTAATATTTAGAAAGGCTATACGTTAATATTAGGCTTATACGTCGATGGGGGCGCCTGTAGCGCAGTAGTCGGAGGGCCCCTGCAATACACACGGCATCGATCCCGCGCCTTAGACTCAGCAAGCCTTTCACCTTCCTTTCATCCGAGGTCGCCAATTTGGTACCAGACTTGTCTGGATGGATAACAGCATTGGCTCGATACATCGGTAGATCACTACGAGTCATTGTAATGGCCAGATATGCATTCAATCAACTCCAACGATGCTTAATGAAATCGAATGCATATTGCGTCCCCCATGCATTGATCAACGCCGAGAGGTTTTTTTTTTAGCTTTATTCGTTAATATTTATAAGGCCTATCTTAGTGTTTAGGCTCTGTCACAATTTCTACTTTCGTTCTTTCAATCCCGACACCAATAGAGGTGGTCTGTTTTATGTTTGATATGGTTATCAGTTTTGGTTCCCTGTGTTGGAAATCCTGCTCATCCCAGATTATGACAGCTTATGAATGAAAAGCACACGAAATCATCCTATGCATTCTCACACTTCCATTTCTCAAGGATACATTCCAGGAAGATGCTGACAAGCAGGTTGATACCTGTCTTACATAACTGGCATGTAGAGGATAAGTTGGAGGATTAACTGATCAATCTACAGGCCACCAATTGAGTGCTCTTTAGGAAGAGAATAAGGGTATACTTAGTCTACACTGAAGTGTTGGCCACCTAACGTTGAACCTACCGAATAAACACAGCGTTCACAAGTACTTTAAGTACTAGCGAGTACGTGAACTTTGAACTCTTCTATAGTGTGATGTCTGTCAATATGAGCGCAGGTGATGGAAGAGGTCGAAGTGCAACTTATGTCATGGTGCTATGATTGTGCTCCGGCTGGTAGTGGTGTGTGGTGATCTGGACTCGTAGCTGTATATGTAGGTTCTATAGGGAGTTATGTACCCACTAAACTGTTCATATTTACTCCATTATTACCCTTATGGAATATTTCTTGCCTAGATGGCCTGTCGTTCGTTCCGAATGAATCGCAGAAAAAACGTAACCGCCATGATGTCATTCGATTTCGTGTATTGATTCGATTGCTGTTTGATGACGTTTCGTCTTTTTTTACTGATTATCACAAAATGAATGCTGGCTGACTGAGCTGGATTTTTCCTGGAGGCTTGGGATTGCCCAGTGGCGTTCCGTGGGTTCTCATCACAGCACAGGCATTTGCCGACTCTTACGGATCATTGGAACGTTCCTTGTCTATCGACCAGGATTCCTCAGGAAAGTTATTCTTTCGAATGGTTTGATCAACTGAATAGAGACGACATAGGAAGCGGAGTTGTCTGGACGGTTCTGGTGTCACTAAATTACTTAAGAATGTAGAACAATACTGGTATGATCAAAGATGTAATGAGCTAACATTGTGTTTCTGTGTAGTTTAGTGACAATTGGTGTTCTTAGTGTAATCACCTGTTTATTTGATATTGTTTCCCAATATTTCTTACAACTTCCTCTTCCGAATTCCTAGCGATATCAGAGTTTTCATGCGTATTGAAAGGCGCGTGTAGCGCTGTGTTCGGAAGCGCCCTACAATAAACATGAGATCGACCCTGCGCCCAAGGCTCGCAAGCCTCCTATCCCTCCGGGGTCGGCAAATTGGTAGCAGACTTGTCGATAGGCCACAACGAGTCATTGTAAAGGCCAGGTATGCATTCATTCACCTCTAATGATGATTAATGAAGTCGAAATGCATGACGCATCCCTCAGGGATTGATCAATGCCCAGAGCATTGTCCTTCTTTTTATCAGCGATCTTTTACATACGTTTGTCTGTTCCGTGGATAACTTTACCTCTTTTTCAGAAATAAATCGTTAAAGCTTCGCTGGCGTCATATTTCTTGCAATCCTATACTATTTCCACCGTCCTCCTTGCATCATTCTATTTTTAGGATGTTTTTAGCTTATTTTGGTTCGCACCATTTTTAGGACATGTTGCGGACGGCGTTGTCGGCGCAAATACGTGCCGTAAGTTCGATTCCTCAACCCATCAAAAATATCGAACCAAAATTCACAAAAGTAGGTGATATAGCCATCATTTATGTAGCTGTAATTGTGATAGACGGCAAATAAAAAGTTACTTGATACTTCATAATTGAATGGCCCGTCCTCACTGGTTGTGCGGGCCTCAGCACAATCTCCACTTTTTGGAGATTTGCTGGTTAGGCCATTGTAGTTCCCTGGAATCCCGAGGTCAGCCTGACCAAAGTATGCTCCAAGTCTTCACCATCACAGACAGTCGCCATCCTTGTCGATCAGAGAGAGATTTGCCACCATGAGACTTTGATATCAGGACGGTGGTGGATCCTGGTATTGGTTTACTCTTAGCCAGGTTTTTTGATGGAAACGCCGGACTCCTTCTCAGCTTGGGAGACCCTGCAAGGTGATGAATCCCCTGCTGTACGTCGCAGTCCGACACCCAGGAACACCTCTCAGCTATGATGAAGCGGTAAACCGTTGGGAGGAAGAAAAAGTTAACATTGTGATTTCAACTACAGCCTGAGCTTAACTGGGTTTAATGCTGAATTGGAGTCCCCAGATCAATTCCGTTGACGGGTTATTTTTGATGGCACTGATCGATAGAAAACTAGCCTGAGAGAGGCGAAACGAAAGAACCGCATGGTTTGGTGGTGAACCTGTTATGCTGCGCAAAGGTTAATAGTGCATTCGATCGCCTCTGCGAACCCTTGCTGTTCAGAGTTTTGCAAATATCTCAGCATTATTGCTAACAGTTTTCTTCCATCATTCATCAATATGTTCTCGAGTCCACAAAAAGTCTACTGAACTAGCATTTTTTGATTAACTAAACTAAATCCTTATGCAATTTTTGATCTTACAACAGCGATATAACACGTCAAGGTGGAACAGATATCCAGTAAATTTCTTTCAGTTGTTTATCAACAATGAGTGGGTAGATGCTGTGAGTAAGAAGACGTTCGAAACGTTCAATCCAGCCACCGGCGCTCTGATTACGAACGTTGCCGAGGGCGATGTGGCGGACGTGGATAAAGCTGTTAAGGTCAGATCTTTAGGATATTTGATTTTTTGGGGATCCCGAAGTTTGAAAAAATGGGTGCAGTTTATGACTCTCACCAATACGTTACGTAAGCACTTTTTTTTACTGGAGTGTTTTGGTCCATCGTCATGTTCAGTGTGTTACTTGCCCGAATGATGTGGAATTAGAAGATTCGTCTTTTATCCTTAATTTTTGTTCGGTTGTGAAATCCTAATTGTAGTATCGGCGAGTTCATGTGTCTTATGTGTCGACAGCGAAATTTCAAGCGCTATGAAAAGTTGGAGAGGCGCGTGTAGAGCAGTGGTCGGAGACGCCCTGCAATACACATGAGATCGATCTCGCGCCCAAGGATCACCAACCCTTCCATCCTTCTAGGTGAGCAAGTTGGTGCCACACTTGTCTGGGAGGATAGCAGCACTGGCTCGATACATCGATAGGCCACCGCGAGCCATTGTAAAGGACAGATATGACTTCAATCACCTGCAGCGATGCCGAATGAAGTCGAATGCATGGCGCATTCTTCAGAGATTGAAAAGCGCCTAGAGTTTTATTCTTTTCCTTAAGAAAAGGTGAGAAAAGTGCAGCTGTACGCATATTATGTACTATTTAGTGGTTATGGACAGTTTATGAATCATAGATACGATCTCTTTCGCAAACAACTGTATAAATGTTTCATGTCATTCTGTTGGTTTTTCTGAACTAGTTTTCTTCAAGTGTTCTGGATGATTACTTTCCGGTTTCTAGGCGGCATCGAATGCATTCCGCTTAGGTTCTCCGTGGCGCCGTATGGATGCCGCAGAGCGTGGCAATTTATTGAACAAGCTCGCTGATCTCATGGAACGAGATAGGGTTATACTTGCGGTTAGTTAGAGAGTTGGGTGCATCTTAGACATTTTTGGTGCTAATTTCGTATTGATTTCGTTTTGAATATCAGTACTGTAAACACAACGCTTAGAACGATGCAATGGCGCTATTGAGGTGAATTTTAGTCTTTGGAAACACTCGATAACGGAAAGCCTTACTCTGTGGCATATACTGCTGATTTGCCGTTATCTATCGCATGTCTGAGGTAAGACAGTATGGCGTTTGTGTTCCACTTACTTATTTGTGGTTCTTAAGAAGTTTGAAATGATATGGAGAGATACTTAGCGGAGATCACATTCTTTTCTCATGGATCTATATTTTGCGATAATTCTAGACTTGTTTGGTCAAGAGGCTACTTTGCGCATAGAAATATTAAATGTCAATATTAAAAGCAAGCAAAAAATATTTTCTATTTGTCGACATATATGAGAACGTTGTTCTCCTTCTCTCAATTGCTTGACTTATTGCGAGGTACTCCACATACTACGGTTTTGATAGTGCGTTCTATAATGCACAATTAAGACCTCTTATACCGTGCAGTAACACTCAGCTTCATAAAATTTAGATTAAGGGAAGAAGAGTAGTAAATTCGAAATTGTGGGATCGGACAACGGTCCTCTGTCTTTTCCATTGCATTCTTCTTCGAGACCTGGTAATTCCCAGGAACCTCTCGTTTGTTCTGGTTTATTTAATTGGTTCATCATGTTCACCTCTCTCTGAAGACATTAATGGCTAAGGAGACATTCGTTATATTGAAGCAAACTGGAGCATTAAAAAACGGATTCGTTTTCCATGCATAAATTTCTCTTTAGGTTGAACCGAAGGCCATCGTTACCATGTGCACAATACATGCTTCGCAGGCTAATGCTTGGTATTATAAGACTATTGTGATCAGCAAGTAAAGAACAGCATGGCAACTAGGCATCATTCCCCAGTTTTGTTAGAATTCTGCATAGTAGTACTGCGTAGTGTTGACAAGATTATATTGCCTTGTGGAATCCTCTTTACGGCAATAATAATGTCGTTGTAAAATGATAAAATTCTGGTGATGAAATTAGTGTAGTTAGGTTATAAAAGACTAATGTGTATCCCATAGAGACAGCCTCCTGGCAGTCCTGTTCAAGATGACTTGAGTGGGCAGTTTGAAAAACGACAAACAGCGGAAAGATTAGGCGATAGCTGTAGATGTTTAGTAGGTACTCCTTTTGACGCAACGTCACAATCGTAATGACTCTCAGTTGACTCGAAATCCTGCTTTTCTATAAATAAAGTGTAAGAAGCGGATCCATCCAGGCGTAAGAAGTCACCTCATTATGAGATGTGGTTTTTTTCAACGTTTACCCGTTTAATCCCGTCACTGAAAAGTGTTGCACAGTTGTTCGCCAACGTGATGGCATGACGTATTTTGGTGCATGGAAATTTTAGGACGAATTACACATCCTGTTCGCTTTGAAACAGTTACAAAAAGAGTGGTTGTCTCTCTATGTAAAACTATTCAGCCTATCCCAAGACTGACTTTCTTTCAACCTTGCCGTTGATCAGTAACTCACTGTCTTTCTCGATGAGCAAAGGTGTAGAGGATTATTGATAAATGCTGTAATACCAAATTCGTGTTTGCTCATCAAGAAAGACAATGAATTATTGAGCATATGATTGCCCGGGAAGGGCGCGTGTAGCGCAGTGGTTGGAGGTGCCCTGCAATACACAGGCTCACCAAGACTTTCATCCCTCCGGGGTCGGGAAATTGGTACCAGACTTATGCAGGAGGATAGCAGTAAAGGTCAAATATGAATTCAATCACCTCTAATACTGAATGAAGTCGAATGCATGGCGCATCCCTCATGATCGATGAACGCTAAGAGCGTTATCCTTTTAGGGTTATCCGTTTGTGTGAAACTGGGGTAGTTACCTGAAGCGTCTTAACAAATTATGCGTGCTGCAGGGCAATTTTCATCTCTGCTGTTCTTCTGCTTGCATAATGCTCTGCTTCGTTCACGTTGAGACTCGTATCCGTGGTTCACAACTCGTATCAAGCAACAAGTGTTACTGTTTAATGTGAAAGACAAACGTATCTCGTTCCTGGTTTATCATGAAGTCCCTTACATCTTTTTCTCCCTTTGCACTGTTCGCATACATCTGTTATTGGCTGTTCTCATCACATGGATGAGCCAGCAATATGCGGAGTGTGCTCATATTCCTCATTGATGTGTTAGTAAAAGTCTCCACCGCATTTTTTTTCACGTGATTCATGTTGACATCTACAGCGCGGATACCAGCACTTCTTGCATTCCGTTATTTTCTTAGCATCCATCATCCACGAATATCTCAAAACTTTTTCCGTGTGAGTTAAATTACTGGTTGAGGGTTGTTTTTTACGAATGTCGCAGAATGCTGGTCGACTCGACTCGCTTTCGAGTCCTGGAATAGTTTTACTAGAACGCTGGTGCTTGAATTTGAAGGAGAGAGTTAAGCCCAAACAGGTATGATAGCAATTTCCCGCATCGGAAGGATGGGAGACTTGGGGATCTCGGAGCAGCGTCGAACCAGCTCTATGCTCGTGAAATTGGGATCACCACTACGCTACCATTTTAGTTTTAGTTTTCTATTCCATTTTAGTTGCACTAAAATAATTCTGAAATATGATAAACGGTCGCAATGACTTGAATTGATGATTTATGAGAAAGGTTGTTCGACTGGCTTAAAACGACTTTTTCTAACTACACTCATTTCTCTGCACAATCATCCGCTCAAATCGTTTCCAGTTTCCCTTTAACACCTTAGATAGTCATACAGTTCCGCTGAGGTCCATTCGGATTCCTTCAGGTGCGCATAGTTTTCTTGAAAACCTAGTAAACGTATACAACTACATTACATCGTTGTTATGATAGTCCTTGTTAACGATTCTCATTCTAACCATTCTCACATAAATGGTTGCTGTGACTATCTAAGAATATATATCTGCTGTCCTACAGGTATTATGCAGGATGGGCGGATAAGAACCATGGCAAGACGATCCCAATTGCGGGTGATTATTTCACGTATACACGCCATGAGCCAGTTGGAGTTTGTGGTCAAATCATTCCGGTGCGCTTATTAAGAGGTTTTTGTTTCCATCGCTACAGTAATAAATTAAATTGAAGTTTTTAAATCATACAGTATGTATCTATGTGACAGTCCCATGCCTATAGATACGTAAATTTTTAACATTCCGTTCTCAGTGGAATTTCCCTCTTTTGATGCAAGCTTGGAAGTTCGGTCCAGCATTAGCGATGGGAAACACAGTAGTTATGAAATGTGCAGAGCAAACTCCATTGTCGGCTCTGTATGTGGCCAATCTTGTTAAAGAGGTATGTATTTCCCATACATTTAAGGAGTAGTTTGATTTTTTGTTTTCTACGTAGCAAATCACAGGCAGGATTCCCTGAAGGAGTGGTGAATATTATCCCAGGATTTGGGCCAACTGCAGGACATGCTATTTCTTGTCACAAGGATGTCGTCAAGGTGGCATTCACAGGTTCCACCGAAATTGGACGTGTGGTTATGCAGGCAGCTGCAGAGAGTAATATCAAGAAGTCGGTTTTTTTATCGACCAGCGTATTTGTTCCTCAATACCAAGGATTGTCTCTAAATGTACACCCCTTTGTAGGATCACACTCGAACTTGGAGGGAAAAGTCCTAACATCATATTTGCTGATGCTGACCGTTAGTCTTTGCAGTGCGAAAGACAAAATATGTAACGTGTACGATTTTTGACAAAGTCCAAATTTCTTCAAACTTTTAGTTGATAAAGCTGCTGAGCAAGCTCATCATGGTCTGTTCTTCAACCAAGGTCAGTGTTGCTGCGCTGGATCTCGTGTTTTCGTAGAGGGAAAAGTACGCTTATAGTATTCTTACTAAACGGTTTTATCGAGTTTTCGAACCACTTTCAGATCTACGATGACTTTGTTGAAAGGGCAAAAGCGCTAGCTGAAAATCGTGTGCTTGGAGATCCATTTGATTTTAAAACAGAGCAAGGACCTCAAGTTTGTTTTTACTTATTCCCTTTTTTATTCATCTGAAACTTCTGTTAACCTAAAATCTTGGAACCACAGAGACCTTTACATTAAGATCGACGGCATGCAACTGAACACAATCACTCGCTATGTTGAGTCCGGAAAGACTCAAGGTGCACAGCTTGTGACCGGTATGATCTCTATACATTAAACATGAATTCAAAGAAAAAGAAAACAAAAATGGGTTCAATAACGTTGGCTCCTTTTGAAAATCGGGTTTTCTCACCCAGTTTATCCATTCACCGAGTGAACATTTATGTGCTTGTATCGATGAAGTGCACGACTTTTTATCCGTCGCCCACAAGCTCGTTGCAGGCAAGGTTACTATGGTTATCAAAAGCTTACTAGGTCTGTGCTCAAATATTTCGAAATGTAAAGTGATGAACTGCAACCACATGACCGGTATAATTTTCTTCTGAAGAGCTTTTTCAAACATTTTTTCAGGTGGTAAGAAATGGGGAGACAAAGGTTACTATTTCGAGCCAACTATATTCAAAAATGTTCAGGATGAGATGACCATTGCTCAGGAAGAGGTGGGATTTTGTGGCCACGTTTCATATGTCATTATAGCTTACAACGCTTTTGTTAAATTTACGGAGGTGGACTAGAACAAGATGTTCTACTTATTTAACTGCAGACCGTTGTTTGGTTTCGGGATTCTTTGAATGTAGTGGTTCTTCACTTTCTTCTTCTTAAGATATTTGGTCCTGTAATGTCTGTGCTTCGTTTCGATTCCATGGATGATCTTGTGAACAAAGCTAATAATACAGTTTATGGATTAGCTGCTGCTGTGATGACGAGCGATATTGACAAGGCCCTTTACGTGGCGAACAACATCCAAGCGGGAACTGTTTGGTAAGCTGTCTGTGTAAGAGTTCGGGCTTTTGAGAAACTTGGAAGCTATAGGAATGCTTAGCAATCTTGATATTTATTGTAGTTTTATATATGTCTTACTTAATATTAAGGGTAAACTGCTACGATGTGTTCGATGCAGCAGCACCATTCGGAGGATACAAACAATCTGGTGATTCCTTTTTTTCCAAAGTAAACCCTCAAAATATGCGTACAAAATAGTATGTAGAGATACCTTGTAATGCACATAGTTAGTGGTTCTATTCAGCTTGCTCCATTCAAAACCGAGAAAAAAAAAGACAGAAATACTGACTTGATAAGTTTTTTTTCATTCATGAGATACGATGTTGATAAAGACACTTTATATGGCTAACGTCTCGGCACCTTCGCCTTATTCAGAGCTGAAGTGATCTATGGCGATTGACCACAGTTGTTACTTCTTTTGATGTGGATTGTTCAAGATTCCATCAAGTGAAATCCAGTGGTGCACTACCCAAATGAAGTAGCCTCACTTGTTAGTGCTTTTTTGTACAGGGCGGTTGATTATACTGATTGTCCGTTGTTGACACTGAATTGATACATTGGTGGGCTCTATAAAGCATTCTATACTCCAAACGTACATGGAATCACCTCCACCATGTTTAATGAAGTCAAATGCCTTCGAACGTTGCTAAGTGGATAGATCACCGCCAAACCTTTTAACTTTTAAATAAGGCGTCAAGTAAGACATACCGAAAGCATGTTCCCAGGTGAGTATTGTTTTTTCAAAAGTTACTTGCTTCTATTCCTCTTAGGAAATGCAATATAACCTCTACTACATCCTCACTGAATCTAATTGCGACAAATATTGAATGCAATTATCGAATGCTTATATGAAAATTGTCGTCTAAGTAGTTTGCTCCCTCGAATTCTCAGAAACTACCAACTGGCTGTGATGAAGATTTGGAAAGGTTTTGCTCTAGCACGGCAGTCCCAGCATTCTGGGGAAAACTTACTCGACCTACTTTGAACGATATTCAAAAAAGCAGAAATTATCAAGCAGCAGTCGAATAGACACGCAGAATCCGATGATCTTAGTTGGATACGGGTGACAGTTGTGATCCACACGATACGTGATTTCGGACCGTGTGGAAAGAAATTGTAAAAAACGAATTCAGTCGGAGTTACATCAACGCCTATAAGCCGATTCCTCATGTGTCTTTTCCCTTTTTTCATTCGAATTAATTAATGAAAAGTAACTGCCACGACCGACTTTCTATTAACCTTGGCATTGATCAAGTGATTTTCTTCGTATTTTTGTTGAGCAAACGCGAGGTGTTACTATTCTTTGTTCACGATTAAGCTGACGTTTCGGCGGATTTCGTCTTCTTCAGAGCCTGAAAAGGTCAAGTTGATAGCAATTCACTCGGCCAGACGCCTCCATAACCAAACAAAGAAACTCCAAACCAAGATTTCAATCACTTTGAACACAGCTTTGCAAACTCACCGCTTCCTATGACGTTTCCACTAAGTATGTCACGTAGAGACCAACCGCACAGAAATCACGTGGAAGTA